CCCCCCACCCACTCTCACACACACACCACCCCCCCCCCCCACCCACTCTCACACACACCACCCCCCCCCCACCCACCCACTCACACACACACCACCCCCCCCCCCCACCCACTCTCACACACACACCACCCCCCCCCCCACCCACTCTCACACACACACCACCCCCCCCCCCACCCACTCTCACACACACACCACCCCCCCCCCCCACCCACTCTCACACACACACCACCCCCCCCCCCACCCACTCTCACACACACACCACCCCCCCCCCCACCCACTCTCACACACACACCACCCCCCCCCCCCACCCACTCTCCACCACACCACCCCCCCCCACCCACTCTCACACACCACCACCCCCCCCCCCACCCACTCTCACAACACCACACCCCCCCCCCCCCCACCCACTCTCACACACACACCACCCCCCCCCCCCACACTCTCACACACCCACCACCCCCCCCCCACCACTCTCACACACACACCACCCCCCCCCCCCACCCACTCTCACACACACACCACCCCCCCCCCCCCACCCACTCTCACACACACCACCCCCCCCCCCCACCCACTCTCACACACACCACCCACCCCCCCCACCCCTCTCACACCACATCTCACCCCCACCACCCACTCCACACCACCCCCCCCCACCCACTCTCACACACACACCACCCCCCCCCCCCCACCCACTCTCCACACACACCACCCCCCCCCCCACCCACTCTCACACACACACCACCCCCCCCCCACCCACTCTCACACACACACCACCCCCCCCCCACCCACTCTCACACACACACCACCCCCCCCCCCACCCACTCTCACACACACACCACCCCCCCCCCCACCCACTCTCACACACACACCACCCCCCCCCCCACCCACTCTCACACACCACACCACCCCCCCCCCCCACCCACTCTCACACACACACCACCCCCCCCCCCACCCACTCTCACACACACACCACCCCCCCCCCACCCACTCTCACACACACACCACCCCCCCCCCCCCACCCACTCTCACACACACACCACCCCCCCCCCCCCACCCACTCTCACACACACACCACCCCCCCACCCACTCTCACACACACAAACACACACACCCCCCCCCCCAACTCTCTCTCACACACCCCCCCACCCCAGGTGTGCTAGATGACCGTGGCAAGTTCATTTATGTGACAGAGGAGGAGATGGAGTCGGTGGCGCGTTTCATCCGTCAGCGTGGCCGCGTGTCGCTGGCGGAGCTGGCGTCCGCCAGCAGCACGCTGGTTTCGCTCCAGCCCAACGAGAGCCTGTTGCAGGCCCTGGGATGAGAGCCCTTCCGCTCCGCAGCTGCTCCTTAGTCCACCGCGTCAGCCTGCTTGGCGGGGCCTCTCTGGTCGTGCTGGCGGCCAGCGGGGGGGGGGGGGCGGGGGGCGCCCTTGCGAGCTGGGAAGGACTGCGGCTCGCGTCGCTTGTACTGCCCGGCCCATTCTGGGGCGCCCTTGGGGTTTCCCCACAAAGGAGTCAAATTTACAATCAAGCCCTCGCCACTGGTTGAATGCGTAAATCGGGATGCACGTGTCGAGCAAGGTAGAGGAAAGTGTAATGAATGTAAAATTGAATTAAAGATTATAATGATGATGTTTGTGTTGAACTCGGAGCCTCCCGTGTTACCGAGTCGTGGTGTCGCGGCGGCTGCTGTCCCGAGTCGGTCGCTTCATCCGCAGCGCCGGGCAGCACCTCGACCCCCCCCCGACCCCACCTCGGACCGAGCCCGTGACAGTTTTATTCTTTAAACGTCTCAGCGATTCATTTAGCGCGAGGCCCGCAATAATTCCAAGTCGTGCAGCCACTGCGTGTCTCGCGCCATAACCGCTGTGCCCACGAGGCCGCCTTTGTCTCGCCGCTCTGTCTGGCCACACCGCCAGGGGCACCAAGGCACGCGCGACGTCATTCGCGGTCTCCAACGCCACCACAGGGGGGCAGGGGGCGGTGGAGGGAATGAGGGGTGAAGGGTGGCAGAGACACCGCGTTCTTAGTTGCAGATCGGCTGTGGAAGTCTCCACTCGCAGCGTAGTCTCCAGCCTCATCTCCCCCACAGCCTCATCTCTCATTTGCCTCCCGTCTCCACCCATCTCCCATCACCTGTCTCCTCCCTGCTACAATTGCTCATCGCTTCAAATCACCTCCCACCTCATTAGCTAAGATCGGCTCCCCTCCCTTCTCGTAACGTCGCCGACCGCCTCGCTCAGCCTCCCGTCTCCCCCCCATGGTCGCCCCTGCTCCGCCTGCGCCTGGCAAATTCCACACCTCGTGTCTGGGCGTCTCGGCACACGGGTGAGACGCGACCAGGGTGTGGGTGAGTCGTGAGCTGGGTGTGGGTGAGACGCGACCAGGGTGTGGGTGAGACGTGAGCTGGGTGTGGGTGAGACGTGAGCTGGGTGTGGGTGAGACGTGACCAGGGTGTGGGTGAGTCGTGAGCTGGGTGTGGGTGAGACGTGACCAGGGTGTGGGTGAGACGTGAGCTGGGTATGAGTGAGACGTGAGCTGGGTGTGAGTGAGTCGTGAGCTGGGTGTGGGCGAGTCGTGACCAGGGTGTGGGTGAGTCGTGAGCTGGGTGTGGGTGAGACGTGACCAGGGTGTGGGTGAGTCGTGAGCTGGGTGTGAGTGAGACGCGACCCGGGAAGGGTGGCACAGACAGAAATGCAAACCCAGAGTGCAAATCCCCTGGGGTAGAGCGGAGATGGAGAAAGGGGTCTGTGGGGCCTTGGCTCGGAGGCTCCACATGATCGGTGGTGCAAGGAGACCAGGAAGGCACGGACAGGCGCACACCGAGACGTCTCCACGGGCAGCTTGGAGTCACAGGGACAGAGACGAGGGGACTGGGAAGATAGAGGGTGAAGAACAGAAACGCCGGTTAGCATGGGGACATTAAAACAAAGACACTGGGACACAACCATGGAGAACACGGGGGCACGGAACCACAGGGAACCCGGGAGCTACTCCTGTGCACGTGTTCGTATCTCCAGTCCAGCGCGGGACTTGCGTTGGGGAGGTGGTGCGTGTGTGTGTGCCAACATCAGGTGCCAGTGTGTGTGTGTGTGCCAACATCAGGTGCCAGTGTGTGTGTGTGTGCCAACATCAGGTGCCAGTGTGTGTGTGTGTGCCAACATCAGGTGCCAGTGTTTGTGTGTGTGCCAACATCAGGTGCCAGTGTGTGTGTGTGCCAACATCAGGTGCCAGTGTGTGTGTGTGCCAACATCAGGTGCCAGTGTGTGTGTGTGCCAACATCAGGTGCCAGTGTGTGTGTGCGCCGACGTCAGTCTTGGGGTAAATCTGTCTGGGTGGATGATCGCGGATGTGTATTAGCCACAATAAAGCATTTTGTTTTGAGTTAGATCGCGTAAATATAAATGAGTCGTTAAACCCGCCACCACCCGACACAGCCAATTGGTAAGGTTTGTCACGTAAACAGAACGTGCCAATTCGTTACTGGTACAGCACACGGGGTGTGTTGCAGAGTAAACATACAACATTCATGATATAATCCGAGTACGACGTTTCCGCCAGTCATTACAACCAGCAGCAGGAGGCGACAGCCACCTCTTGTGGACGATATCGGTCGCGAAAGGCGCCGTGTGAGACGGATGTGTCAGCGGTGGCAAGTGCCACGTGTGCTGGCGCGTGAGTTTGTATCGGTTGACGTGCGCGCGTGTGCAAGAATGAGGGTGTGTGTGGCGGGGAGGTGTGGGGAGCTGCAAATCCCAGGCTGTCGTGGGCTTACCTCCCCATCAACAGGAGGCGAGGCGTGGTGGTGGTTTACATCCCCACCGATGCACATCAGTGAGGGACATGCAGGCAAGGCATCCATCAAGGACCCCTTCAAACCCACAACAACCGTCTCTGGGCTCGGCTAGCTGATGAAAGTTGCAAGCGACTTTCAGCAAACGGGGGGGGGGGGGGGGGATCAGGACAGTGCCTCGTGCAGCTGCCATGGCTGCATGGCAGCGTCGACCTCCCCGGAGACCCTGGCCGACAGGCGGCATTCCAGCGAGCCCGAGGGTGAGCGCAAGGGCCGCTCGCGGCGTCTGCGTCGTGCAGGAGGACGAGGGCGGCTACCGCAGCCGCCTCCCGGAGGAGGTTCGGAGCGCCGTGCGGCGCTGCGCGGATGAGTGGTGGTGGTCGCGGGGTAGCGCGCGATCAAAACGTCGCTAGAAAATCCCATTTAAAATTCACCACGGGCTGAGTGGGGCCGTGACAGACACGCGGGGCGAGATGAATCGTCGAGTTGAACTGGGAGCGCAAAGCGAGGAAGGCGCCGCCACAAGCCGCCACACCGCAGCCAACGCGACCACGACTCCACCCCGCCACGTGTGGCCCGCTCACACCGCTCCACACAAAGACCCCCCGTATAGCCTGCACAGACTGTTGGAACAAGTGCTGTTAGCGAGCATCTATTAAGGCCGGCACGGCACACCACGCCCTGCCGCCTTTGTCTCCCCAGGTGGTGATGTTTTACACATCACATTGGGTACTCACTTCAGGCCGAGGTCACCTAGGGGAGGCCCATGACAAGTTCGGACAATCGTCACTGGCGTTGGCCGTGAGCGGAAATCGAACTTGGGCCGCCGGGTTTGCAGCGCTGCGCGCTAACCGCTACACTACCGCCCCCCACAACACAGACACACACAGACACACACGTTGACACAGACAGACACACAGACACACGCAGTGGGTCGTGTGTCCGCAGCGCTGCGCCGCACACGGGGCCTGGCGAGGCCTCCTCCTCTTCGCCCGCTGTGCGCGTGGCGGTAGCGGGGCTCCCGGGCCGTGCCCCTTCACCCTCGCCTCACCTTCGCGCTGCTGCTCCTGCTGCTGCTGCTCCTGCTGCTGCTGCTCCTGCTGCTGCTGCTGCTCCTGCTGCTATCCTCTGCGCACCTCGGTGGTCCACGGTTTTCCGATTCTGTCTCGGCCCCTTTATATAGTCGTGCTCGCTAGCCCTGCTGCATTGCCATTGGCTCATCGGCCTCATTGTTCGGGGTGGGTCAGCTGTTTTAATTACCCCCACCTGACTTAATCAGCCCTGATCGACACTTCTGACAAGAGGTGGCTCGCTCATTGCATCAGTGGCGGACCCGTCCCGACATTGGTCAAACGTGTCGCTACGGGCGAGGCCTGCATCGAGGGAGTGAGCGAGTGTCCATTGACCACCGTGACAATTCCAAGTGTACTGAGCATTTCTGAGGTCGCAGTGGAGGGGAAACACTTCAAGATAGCGTCATGGGGCAGCGTGGGCTCACCACGCTGGGGCTGCTGTGCCTCAAATGTGAGACGAAGTCGCCCACCACTGCGAGTGGCTGTCTGTGTGAGAGCAAACCAGAGCCAGACACCATGCGAAATGCCGATCTTTGTATTTCATGTCCGTCCGTGCGTCTTTACAGTTCTCTACAATGCCCGCCTCACGAACTTTATTGAAGCACTTTCCACGCACACATCACTCCTCGTCCCACTCTCCCCCGCCCAGGAACCGCAAATCCTTGACGATGTCGCTCGCCCCCGATCCGAGCGACGCGAACGCCACCGCCGCCGTCGTCAGCAGCGACCTCCGCGCATCTGGCCCGACGCTCCCCGCGTCCCTCTCCACCCCGGACGATCCCACGGAGGCTTCGCTCGCTCCCAAGGACCAGCTCGAGTCTCTGGAGCTGCTGGAGCGCTTCAAGCCCCTGGTGGTGCTGCTCTACGCGCTCCTCGTCACCGCCGCCATCGTGGGCAACGTCCTCCTCGTGGGCGCCATCGCGCGCGTCAAGAGGATGCGCACCGTCACCAACTTCCTCATCGGCAACCTGGCGGCGTCGGACGCGCTCATGTGCGCCCTGTGCGTGCCCACGTCGCTGGCCTACGTGTACGACCCTCGCGGCTGGGTGCTGGGCCGCGGCACCTGCCTGGCCTCGCTCTACCTGCAGCCCGTCACCGTGCACGTCTCCTCCTTCACGCTGGTGGCCATCGCGCTCGACCGCTACTCGGCGCTCGTGCACCCCCTGCGGCCCCGCATGTCGCCGCGCCGCTGCGGCCTCCTCGCGGCGGCGCTCTGGCTGCTGGGCGCCGCCCTGGCCGCGCCGGCGCTCGCTAACACCCGCTACGTGCGGCTGCCCGCCGACGACGGCGGCGAGGCGGAGGTGACGCTGTGCGAGGAGCTGTGGGGCGCGCGGCGCGAGCGCGAGCGCGTGGCGCACGCCGCCGCCCTCGTCGCGCTCACCTACGCGCTGCCGCTCGCCGTGGCGGTCGCCGCCTACGCCCGGCTCGGCGCGAAGCTGCGCGCCCGCGTCGTGCCGGGCAGCGTGACGCGCGCCCAGGCCGAGCGCGACCGCCGGCGCCGTCGCAAGACGCAGGGCCTGCTGGCGGCCGTCGTGGCGGCCTTCGCGCTCTGCTGGCTGCCGCTGCACGCCTTCAACCTGGCGCGCGACGTCGACCTGTCGCTGGTGGCGCCGCGCTACTTCGGCGCCGTGCAGCTCGCGTGCCACTGGGTGGCCATGAGCTCGGCCTGCGCCAACCCGCTCATCTACGCCTGGCTGCACGGCGCCTTCCGCGCCGAGCTGCGCCGCCTCTTCTGCTGCTGCTGCCGCCGCCGCGGCGCGGCCAAGGCCAAGGCGCAGAGCAGCACGGCCAGCCTGGCCAGCGTGGCCCTCTGAGGGCCCTCAGAGGGCCCTCAGAGGGCCCTCAGAGGGCTCTCAGAGGGCCCGGGGGCCGCCTGGGCCTGCGCTCGGTCTGGGGGGCACCTGGGGCCAGTTCTGCGGCGTGACCTCGTCTGAAGGGTGGAGCGCTACGGCAACTCATGGGGGCAGCAAGACCCTCCTTGAGACGCACGCACATTGCTGTGGTCTTGACATTTAATGTTGTATTAATATAGGGGGCCATATTTAGAGATTTCAGGACCGTCGCCCCCCCCCCCCCCCTTGGGAATTGTCTCGATCTTCCTTTTGACGACGTGGTGAGGGAAACCCGCCACTAGTGTTAAACAATGTACCAAGGTTTGTTTGACGTGACTTTAGCAGGTGGGGGGGGGGGGGGCAAACCCCCTCCAATTCGCTAGCCCCCTAAAGCTAGGGGGCTGGTTGAGGCTCGGGGCCACCCATGCAGTCTAACAGAATTCAGGGGTCCACAACGGATTGGAGTTGAGGAGGATGAGGTGGATGGTGATGGTAGAGCTGAGAATGTGGGGAGGTGGTCACGGGGCCACACAGTGACCCCTCCTGGGCCACACAGTGACCCCTCCTGGGCCACGTCTCGCCTCAGGGGTGAGGGCGGCAGCTTAGCGGGCAGGTGAGTGCTGGGTAGGTGAGCGGATAGGTACGGTAAGTCGTACAGGTGAAGAGTGTAGGTGAGTGGGTCCACGAGCCAGCAGGTGAGACTGAACATGAGTGGACGAGTGAGGCGGCATGGTGAGCGGCAGGACAGTGGGTGAGGTGAGTGGGTAAAGCTGCAGACCAGGCATCGCGTTGCCCCGGCAACGTCGTGTTTGTGTTGGAGAGTTCGCGAGGTCAACTCTCTCAGGTCAATAAACGTGGATGTAAAACTACACGATTGTATTCACAGTTTTGTTTGCGCTTTCTGAATGCATTTGTCCATCAAGTAGCATGGATTGAATAAAAACCCAGAATACTGACACGCTAACCTGTGTCGTTTTTGGAAAGTTGAGCCAACATCTGTCGTCTCATCTTCTGGTGAAAACAGCAAACGGTAAAAACGCGACTGCGGCGACCGACACGGTGTGGGGGGGGGGGGGGGGGAGAGAGGCATTCAGCCAGCAGTGGAGTGACACACGGCTGCTGCACCACGCGTTTGTGTCACGTTTGCACACGCGGGAGTCACCGCACCAAGTCACCAGCAGCGCCACGCACCGGCGGTGCCCGGCGTTGACTTGGAGCACAACCCTCGCGTCTAGCGCCACTGCCCAGTTCCATCCACACCCCCCACTTCACCCCCACCGCCTTCACCCCCACCCCCCTTCACCCCCACCCCCCTTCACCCCCAGCCCCCTTCACCCCCAGCCCCCCTTCACCCCCAGCCCCCCTTCACCCCCACCCCCCTTCACCCCCACCCCCCTTCACCCCCAGCCCCCTTCACCCCCAGCCCCCCTTCACCCCCAGCCCCCCTTCACCCCCAGCCCCCCTTCACCCCCACCCCCCTTCACCGCTCAGAGGGCTTCACCCGAGGCGCTCGCCCCGTGCCGATTGCGCGTGAAACGACGATCGGCGGATCGATGCGGATCTCTTCCTCCTACGCTCCGCGAGACGCACGCACGTCGCATCGCGAGACGCACGCACGTCGCATCGCGAGACGCACGCACGTCGCATCGCGAGACGCACGCACGTCGCATCGCGAGACGCACGCACGTCGCATCGCGAGACGCACGCACGTCGCATCGCGAGACGCACGCACGTCGCATCGCGAGACGCACGCACGTCGCATCGCGAGACGCACGCACGTCGCATCGCGAGACGCACGCACGTCGCATCGCGAGACGCACACGGATCGAGCGTTTCGAGATTCACGGAAATAAAACACGAATGCGGATTGAGGCTAACGGACAAGATTTAATGCACGAGACGATCAATACAAACGAGATTAACACGTAGTAGGCTTTCGCCACCAATATTAATAATAATAATAAAGGTTTTTGGGTTACATCGCGATTTGCCAAATCGCGGTACTCAAATTGTAAATGTTGTGGATTTACTCTCCAACACACCGGTAGGATGAAGCAGTGACTAACTGGAGTTTTGTTTACGCGACAAATCCCTTACGAATTGGCTGTCGGGTGGTGGAGGGTTACAACACATTTGTACTTACGCGATCTAACCCAGAAACCTTTTTTTGTATGAACAATACAAACGAGACGGTACAAACGAGACAAAACAAGCATACATCCTACCCCCTAACCCTAATGACGGCAATTCATGGAATCGCCGGTGGGTGAGCTGTTAGACATCTGATTTTGATCATTATTCCCGAAGCGTTTCCCAGTCTCCGAGTCGGCGATGTCCGTCTCTGCGCGCCGCTGGCCGCAGCTGGCGTCAAAGTTAGCGGCACCTCCTCCCCCGCCATGTCGGACTTTGGCGACGCAAACGTCAAGAGCGGCCGGATCTCCAATTCATCTCACACCGGTGCGTTGGTAACCGTCACGCGTGTGTTTAGCGAACCGGAAAACGCCCTACGCGCAATGACTACCGCCGCCCCCCAATATCGCCATCACTACCGCCACAACTATCAACTAACGCCACTAACCCCGATTTATATTTGCTTCATTGCCGTACTATATTTGTTCATGTCACTTTGGTGACCAGGGTCACTCTTGCAAGCGGGATACTCCTACCCTGGTCTCTCGCCTTCTCATCTTAGCTACACACAATGAACTTGAACCCCTACCACTACCACCGCTCCCACTATCACCAGCGACCACCGCCACCTGTCATTAACTTTCTCTTGAGCGGAGCTCATCACCGGAGCAGCACCGCGACACCCCGTGCCCGAGTGGAGGTCGCTCCACCCGGATGAAGCCGGGCGGCCCCGTGGGGTTGCCCGGCTCCAACGAGAGCAGCCCGCGACCTCCGCCCTCCACCGCGTGACCCCCTCCCCGCCCTGCACTCCTCCCTTAGGGCGCTGTGCGCTCGTCCACGATGTATTGCTGCCCCCTGCCCCCCGCATGCCCCCCCTTGCTTCTGTCCGCGCGTCCGTGGGGGCTGCCGTCCATGTCGGAGACGGAGGAGAAGCCGAGGGTCTGGGCTGCGGTGGGGCCGGTGGGGCCGGCGGGAGCGGTGGGGCCGGTAGCGCCACCGCTCAAGTGGAGCTCCAGCTTGCGCAGCAGCTGCCTCGGGGACCGCTTGGCGGCCACCTCCACTTCTAGAACAAAGACAGAGACCCCCCGGAGAGACGGTTGGGGGTCAAGCACTGTTCGCGAGCACCTGTCACGGCTCACGAGAGGGTGCTGCGGATATCAGTGGTGTAGCAGTTGGCGCACCGCGCTACGAATCCGGCGACCGGAGTTCAATTCCCGTTCACGGTCCTGGGCCTCCGCTACGTCGCCACTGGGGAGACAAAGGCGACCGGGAGTGGTGCTGGCCACCAAACTCCTCGTGTGCTGTGTCGGCCTTCATCGGTGTTGCTACTCGCGAACGGCAACTGCCCCAACAGTCGGTTAAGGCTAAACAGGGATCTTTCCAAGCAAGTGGGTGAGTCGCTGTGCAGGCGACCATGCGGGTGAGCGAGCGAGCGAGCGGTGGGTCCGCACCCTGCAGCACGGCGCCGGAGTCAGCGATGGTGCAGTGGCGCTCCCTCCACGTGCGGTGCAGCTGCAGCAGCAGCGCAGCAAAGAGGTCGCTCAGCACCGGCACCACCTGCAGCCGGCGGTTACACTCCCTGCTCGCGGCACATACAGGGCCAGGGCGATAGTGAGCGAGTGGATGAGTGAGTGTGCGTGTGTGCAGGTGGATTCACTGGCGAGTGGGAAAGCGAAATATATCACCGCTTAATGTGCGGTGCCTGTGTGCGGTGAGTGTGGTCCGCCTGGTGAGTTTGATACTCACCTGGTGAGGCACTCCTCGCGTAGAGCCTGCAGGCAAATGCGGCTCAGGTTGATGGACATGATGCAGAATGGGAAGTTCTGTAGGAGATAGAGTGTGGTGAGTGTGTGCAGTGAACGAGTGTGTACACACGTACGTGCGCGTGTTTGTGATGTGAACGTGTGCGTGCATGCGTGTTTCTGTGTATGGGGAGCGGTAGTGTAGTAGTCAGCGCCCTGTGCTACGAACCCGGTGACCCGAGTTTAATTCCCGCTTACGGCCAACACCGGTGACGATTATCTGAACAGGTCCTGGGCCTGCCCTAGGTCGACTCAGCCTCAAATGAGTACCAGGTGCGGTGTGTAAACATCGCCACTAGGGAGACAAAGGCGGTCGGGCGTAGTGCTGGCCACCCACCCCCTCGTATACCGTGCCGGCCTTTATAGGTGCTCGCTAACAGCACTCGCCCCAACAGCCTGTTAAGGCTACACGGGGGATCTTTTTCCTGTGTGTGTGCGTGTGGTGTGGTGAGCGTATGTGGCGAGCGCTGTGCCTGTGTGTATGTGCGTGTGTAGTGTGGTGAGCGTATGTGGCGAGCGCTGTGCCTGTGTGTATGTGCGTGTGTAGTGTGGTGAGCGTATGTGGCGAGCGCTGTGCCTGTGTGTATGTGCGTGTGTAGTGTGGTGAGCGTATGTGGCGAGCGCTGTGCCTGTGTGTATGTGCGTGTGTAGTGTGGTGAGCGTATGTGGCGAGCGCTGTGCCTGTGTGTATGTGCGTGTGTAGTGTGGTGAGCGTATGTGGCGAGCGCTGTGCCTGTGTGTATGTGCGTGTGTAGTGTGGTGAGCGTATGTGGCGAGCGCTGTGCCTGTGTGTATGTGCGTGTGTAGTGTGGTGAGCGTATGTGGCGAGCGCTGTGCCTGTGTGTGGTGCTGGGAGAGGCGGTAGAGGTCGCGTGCGAGAGGCAGGCTGTGGGGCTCCGTGAGCGCACACAGCAGCTGCATCAGACCCAGCAGCCCCGCTCCACGCAGGTCGGTGCCCGGGTCACTGCCTACACAGTGCGCGCACGCACACGCACATAGACGCGCGGACACACACGTACACACACGTACACACACGTACGTACACACACGCATGCACACGTACACGTACACACACGTACACACATGCACACGCACGTACACGCACGCACACACACGCAAGCACACGTACACACACGTACACGCACGTACACACACGTACGCACAGTAAACGCACGTACACACACGCACGCACACATACACACGCAAGTACACGTACACACACGTAAACGCACGTACACACACACATGCACACATGTACACACACAACAAAGACTCTTAGGTGTTAAGTACTGTTAGCAAGCGCCTATGATGATGACGATGGTGCTGGTGGTGATGGCAATTGTTGCCGTGGTGATGGTGGCGATGGTGATGATGGCGATCATGGTGATGGTGGCGATGGTGATGATGGCGATCATGGTGATGGTGGCGATGGTGATGATGGCGATCATGGTGATGGTGGCGATGGTGATGGTGGCGATGGTGATGATGGCGATCATGGTGATGGTGGCGATGGTGATGATGGCGATCATGGTGATGTACCCTGGAAGCCGATCTCCTCCCAGTGGGGGCCGAAGCGTGGGCAGTCGAGGCGGGAGCCCGTGAGCTGGCGGTAGACGGTCTGCAGGATGCGTGTCTGTACGGCCTGGCTGTGATCCAGTGGGCCTGAGCACACACAAATCCCCCGTGTAGCCTACACAGGCTGTTGGGGCACGTGCCGTAACACGCACGCGTGCGTACGTACCACACGACACGGTTGCTTTTGCTCTGATTTCTATTTGCTTCGTCGCTGTAATTTGTAATTTTGGTGACCAATGTCACTCCTGCAAATAAGACTATATCCTAGTCGCTCGGGTTCCCACCTGCATGCACAACATCACCTGGAACTTGACTGGTGTTGTACCAATACCAAAACCCGCCCTTCGCCACCAAGTGACGGCGACGACACCACAGCACTCGTGCCAGGCCAGGTGCACTTCGAGGCCACGTGAAGTGTCGAAGGCTCGCCGACAGGAGGTCTCGGGACAGACCCAGGTGCCATGGGTTAGCAGAGATGACTGGTAGATGCACCAGCTGTACCCCCTACTGTGCCAACACACACGCAATAGACAGCCCACATATACACCACGACATGTACATACCACGCATAGGTGTGTATTCACAGGACTTAATTTCAGCCGGGTGTGTCCAGGTCAGCGACTAAAATTAATCTGCACTCGGCACACCACGTCGAGTAGAGCTCTTGCGATGACTGGCTACGACTAGTTCTGTGCCTACCTGTCTATAAGCGACCCGGGAGAATATTCAGCGATACAACAATAATATCTGTCTACCCACGCACTAGTGCGTACACACACACGGAGGTGTACACATGCACACACACACACACGCGTGCGTGCGTACACAGAGCCATGGTGAACACCAGGTCTCGCTCTCCCTGCAGCTCCCGGCGGAGGCGTGGGGGGCCGAACAGGAAGTGTGCGAGGGCCGAGAGCCCCCCTCGACGCAGCGTGGGCTGAATCAACTTCTACGCGGGGGAGGGAGGAGGGGGGGCAAAGACAAAGATCCCCCGTATAGCCTTAACAGGCTGTTGGGGCAAGTTCTGTTAGCGAGCACCTATGAAGGACGGCACGGCACACGAGGGGTAGGTGGCCAAAACCACGCCCGGCCGCCTTTATCTCCCCAGTGGTGATGCTCACACATCGCACCAGGTACTCATTTGAGGCTGAGTCGACTTAGCGGAGGCCCAGGACCGGTTCAGATAATCGTCACCAGTGTTGGCCGTGAGTTGGAATCGAACCCGGGTTGCCAGGTTCAGAGCGCAGCACGCTAACCACTACACTACTAAGCAGAGGTGGGACAAAGTCATTGTTATGCAAGTCCAAGTCGAGTCTGAAGTCATCAAATTCATGACTCGAGTCTGACTCGAGTCCAAGTCACATGACTCGAGTCCACACCTCAGAGGTGGGACAAAGTCATTGTTATGCAAGTCCAAGTCGAGTCTGAAGTCATCAAATTCATGACTCGAGTCTGACTCGAGTCCAAGTCACATGACTCGAGTCCACACCTCTGCTACTAAGACACAGACATACACAGACACACGCACACACACACAAACAGACACACACATACAGACACACACACACACAGATACACACAAACAGACACACACATATACAGACATACACAGACACACACAAACACACACACAGACACACAAATCCGTCGGTGTCAGCTTCAGGTTCGTAGGTGGGTGGTGAATGTGAAACCGCTCCAACCCTCGGCAGCAGCTCTTGCGGTGTCACCCCCTGCCGAGCTGGGTCCACTGCTTCATGTCACCCCCCCTCACCCACCACATCCCTCTTCGTTTCGCTGTTGCCCTTCTGAGGAAGTGCAGGCACACCTACAGTTGCTGTCTTCCTCTGTCTCTGATGAACAAGGCTAGGGTACATACGCTGTGTGAAAGAAGTTCAACACACAAACTATCTGCCTAAATCACATCGGTCTGTGGCAATATCCCATTATATTGAATACACCTCACTTCATAATTTGTATTCACTATCCTATTTTTAACAAACATGCATTTAAAATACCGACAGAGATACCCCACATACCCGGCATACAGAGAGAGGCTGTTCGAGCGAGTGCTGTTGGCGAGCACTGATGAAGGCCGCCAGGGGACACAGGGAGTGCTGCGGCCACCACCTTGCCCTGCCACCTTTGTCTCCCCAGTGATGATGTTCACAGACCTTGCCAGGACCGGTTCAGATATTCACCACTCTTAGTCGGGAACTTGGGTCGCTGGGTTCGTAGCGCAGCGCCGTAACCACTGGCGGAGCCAGTGGGGGGGGGGCGGTGGGGTGGCACGTGCCCCTCCAATGAAATTGGGGATTTCGATCGGATCTTTGGGGTTTATTAGTAATAAATCGGCATTTTGCGACCCCCACTGCCACTGTGTAGCATATTATTACGTGCCAGGGACTCTATGAGATGATAGGACAATAATCTGAGTCCATAATTAGCAATAAGTAACGGCAAACCAGTTGCGTACACAGTACACGACTTCCCTGAAGGCATTCACCTTCAGCGAGTGCGATGCCGATCACACGACGCGGTTCGAATTCGACCCTCAATCGATGGCTGCGCCATCGCCGCACACGCGTCGAAAAAAAATCAAGGGACAAGTCCTTACTTACTAACAACTCCTTACTCACTAACTCCTTACTTACTAAAAACTCCTTACAAACTCACAACTCCTTACTCACTAACAACTCCTTACTTACTAACAACTCCATACTTACTAACAACTCCTTGCTTACTCACAACTCCTTATTTACTAACAAGTCCTTACTTACTAACAAGTCCTTACTTACTAACAACTCCTCTATCATTTCTCATTGCTGGAGGGGTTGCCCCACCCCCCCACCTGAAAATCCTGGCCATTGGCCGCAACAACCACTTGCGCCACCACTCCCCGCATGCACACACACTACACACGCACACACACACTACATACACACACACTACATACACACACTACATACACACACTACACACACACACTACATACACACACGCACACTAACACACGATGGCGCTCGCTACAAGCACTTGCCCCAACAGTCTCTTAAGGATCTCTGTCGCTGTAGATGTGTGCGTGTGAGGTTACGCTGCGGTGGTGTGGTTATGGTGCGTGGTGACGTTGTGATTACGGAGTAGCGGGAGAGGTCGGCCGTCTGGAAGTGGTGCAGGGCCTCGCTGAAGGAGATGGGAGGCGTCTGAGTGAGCGCCTCCGCCCCCGCTCCTGCCACTGCTCACACACAGACAAAGGTCCCCCGTGTAGCCTTTCACGGACTGTCGGGTAAAGGGCTGTTAGCGAGCACCTGTGAAGGCCGCAAGGCGCATGAGAGGGCAGATCGCCAACACCACGCCCGGCCGCCTTTGTCTCCCCAGTGCTGATGTTTGACACACCGCGTCAGGTACTCGTTTAAGACTTAGTCGACCTCGGGGAAGCCACTGTTATTAGTCGTGAGCAGAATCGAACTCGGGTCATCGGGCATGCACACACGCACCTTGACTCATCGGCACCTCGACTAGATAATGGGGGTAATGATGTGATGATGATGTAGGTTGCTCTCTGCTGATGTGAAGGGGTCAAGCTGATGTGATGATGTTGATGATCTGAGGATGAGTGATGATGTGACGAGGGTGTATAATGATGCGTGGTGATGTGACATGATGTGTCACCTGGCTGAATCGTTTCCACTGCTGCCCACTCATTCTGAGCCTGGATCAGATCCTCCATCTCCTCTGTCCACCCACACACAGAAAAAGACAAAGATCCCCCATATAGCCTTAATAGACTGTTGACGCAAGTGCTGTTAATGAGCACCTGTGAAGGCCGGCATGGCACACGAGGGGATATTTGACCAGCACTACATCTGGCCACCTTTGTCTCCATAGTGGAGATGTTTAAAACAGGCCGAGTCGACCTAGGGGAGGCCCAGGACCAGTTCAGATAATCGTCACTGAAATGTACTAATTAATAATCATCACTTATTTATTCAGAAAGGTTACACAGAGTTCGAGGAATAATTTTCAGAAGGGTCCTGCCTACATGGGGTACTTATTTTAAGATCGTTTCAGCCAATTAATGATGATTCGAAGCTTTCGTGACTGCAGGAATTACTCTTTGGTTCTTTCGGTAAAGTCACGTAGAAAATAAAATCAAATAATAATAGAATACGACGTTTCGGTTGCAACACAAGCAACCATCATCAGGTAAGAATGAATGATAAAACACAGACACGGGAACAGCGTAGGCAGACACACATGCTCTGTGTGTCTTTGTGTCTCTCTCTGCATGTTTGTGTGCCTATGCTGTTCCCGTGGCAGTGCGGTAGTGCGGTGCGGTGTGGCAGTGTGGTAGTGCGGTGTGGCAGTGCGGTAGTGCGGTGTGGTAGTGCGGTGTGGCAGTGCGGTAGTGCGGTGTGGCAGTGTGGTAGTGCGGTGTGGCAGTGCAGTAGTGTGGTAGTGCGGTGTGGCAGTGCGGTAGTGCGGTGTGGTAGTGGTAGTGTGGTGTGGCAGTGTAGTAGTGCGGTGTGGCAGTGCAGTAGTGTGGTAGTGCGGTGTGGCAGTGTGGTAGTGCGGTGTGGCAGTGTGGCAGTGCGGTAGTGTGTGGCAGTGCGGGGTGGTAGTGCGCTAGTGTGGTGTGGCAGTGCGGTGCACACCTGCTCGCGGTGTGTGCTCTGTCTCCACAGCCAGGCTCTGGAGCAGCCCGTTGTGTTTGAGAGCGGAAATCTGCGGTGCAAAAAGACAAGAACCCCCGGGTAGCCCACCACTGTCTCCCCAGTGTTTGCACACCACACCAGGTATATGTGGGTCTGTGTGTACCCGTGTGTTGAATCGATTTAATTGTGAGCAGTGGTAGTGCAGCGGTTAGCGCACTGCGCCACGAAACCGGCAACCCGAGTTTGATTCCCGCTCATGGGCAACACCGGTGGCAATAATCTTAACCGGTCCTGGGCCTCTCCTAAGTCGACTCAGCCTCAAATAAGTACCTGGCACGGTGTGTAAAACATTGTCATTGGGGAGACAAAAGGCGGCCAGGCGTGGTGCTCGTGTGCCGAGCCGCCATCCACAGGTACTCGCTAACAGCACTTGCCCCAACAGCCTGTGTGGAATCCGGGCCAGATAGCCGTGAGCGGGAATCAAACTGGGGTCTCCCGGTTCGTAGTGCAGAGCGCTAACCGCTAACCGCTAACCACTAACCACTAACCGCTAACCGCTAACCGCTGCGCGACCGCACACACAGGATCTCACCGGCACGCTCTGCGGCTCAGCCTTGCCGTCGTGTGACAGGGCCGCTGCGTCTCCCTCCGCCATGTGCTCCATCGCAGCCCAGAGCTGCGTGCAGGAGAGCCAGCAGACAGACGAGTGGAGAGGGGTGAATAGGTGGGCACTTGAGCAAATCAACAAATGACCAGGTGGACAAGTGGATAGGTCGGCAGGTGGGCGACTGAGAAGGTGGTGGTGAGTAGGCAGACAGGTGGGCATGTGGAGAGAGAAATGTGCGGGTAAACATGTCGATGAGCACGTGAATAGGTGAGCAATAGGTGAGCAATAGATTTAGTTCAGTTAATTTATTCGAATTTACCCTGTGAGCCATTCGATTTGGGTTCAACCGCAACAGACAATAACAATCATAATACAATACAGATCAAATTTTTAAGTATAAATATATACTAAATAAAAAAAAAATCGGGCCAAACCAAGCCCCTCTAAAACTTACTAAAACAATGGTATATAAACAACGTAACAGTTTTCCCAACAAATTAAAAGTTTACAATAGCGACACATACAACACACATCACTAAACCCAGCATCCTCAGCTAGCTGCATAAGTCAATCCATAGGTGAGCAGGTGAGCAGGTGAGCAGGCGAATCGGGGCACAGGTAGAGAACCCCACACCGAGGCACTTGGGGGAGCGTGCCCACCGCCCGCGAGTGACGCGCGTTGACGGAGTCGCTCGCAGGAGCCCCCCGTGGGGCGGGCCGCCGTCTCCTCCGCAGGGGGTTAGAGGTCACGGAGGGGTCCCGCACGAGGGAGGCGGTGGGGGGTCCGCGCGCTGGGGGTCATGACCTCCTTACCCCTGCCCTGTGGGACGCAGGGGATGAGAAGCATTTCGGCTGCTCACCTGATCTCATGCACTCTCACCTGAACCTCACCTCCATCTCCTTTCACACAGTGGGTGGGATATAGGGAGTGATACACGAGGTGACACAGGGAGTGACAAGAGTGACACACAGGGAGTGACACACAGGGAGTGACAAGAGTGACACACACGTGGAGTGACACACGTGGAGTGACACACGTGGAGTGACACACGTGGAGTGACACACACGGGGAGTGACACACACGTGGAGTGACACACGTGGAGTGACACGTGGAGTGACACACACGTGGAGTGACACACACGGGGAGTGACACACACGGGGAGTGACACGTGGAGTGACACACACGTGGAGTGACACACACGTGGAGTGACACACACGTGGAGTGACACACGTGGAGTTACACACGTGGAGTGACACACACGGGGAGTGACACACACGTGGAGTGACACACGTGGAGTGACACACACGTGGAGTGACACACACGTGGAGTGACACACACGGGAGTGACACACACGTGGAGTGACACACACGGGGAGTGACACACACGTGGAGTGACACACACGTGGAATCAGACACACGTGGAATGACACACACGGAGTGACACACACGTGGAGTGACACACGTGGAGTGACACACACGTGGAGTGACACACACGTGGGAAGTGACACACATGGGAAGTGACACACACGTGGAGTGACACAGGGAGTGACACACACGTGGAGTGACACACACACGTGGGAAGTGACACACACGGGAAGTGACACACATGGGAAGTGACACACACGTGGAGTGACACAGGGAGTGACACACACGGGGAGTGACACACACGTGGGAAGTGACACACACGTGGAGTGACACGGGAAGTGACACACACGGGAAGTGACAACGGCCGTAATCCGCGATGGCTCCCGGCCGTTCCCATAGCAACCGCGGGCGCGCAATGCGCGGGCAGAAAGCGCCTCACGGCCCCAATGGCTGCTCGAGCGCCTGCTTGGCCAAATGCGTGGCTGACTGAGTGGCTGACTGAGTGAGTGGCTCACTGAGTGGCTGACTGAGTGGCTGATTGAGTGGCTGAGTGAGTGGCTGAGTGAGTGGCTGGGTGAGTGGCTGAGTGGCTGATTGAGTGGCTGAGTGAGTGACTGACTGTGGGGCTGAGTGACTGAGTGAGTGGTTGACTGAGTGATTGACTGGCTGACTGACTGGCTGACTGACTGACTGAGTGGCTGAGTGAGTGGCTTCTTGCCCGCTACGACAGTGACTGCCCAAACTCAGTCTCCCCACCTCCCCCCGCAGCCACCGCTCCACGTTACCTCCTCCACCTTCTTCCTCTTCTCGCGGCACTGCCGCCGCGGAGCCTCGATGCCCTTCGTCCTCCTCCGGGTCCCTCCTGGTCCCTCCTGGTCCCCTCTTGGTCCCCTCCCGGTCCCCTCCCGGTCCCCTCCGGGTCCCTCCCGCGAGTTCGAGCCGCTCCGGTTCGCGGCCCCGCCAGAGGAGCCGCACTGATTTACCCACAGTGCCCCGCGCGCGCGCGCGCACGGCCACGCGTTTCTTGGGCTTCTGCGTGGCCGAGCGGTAACGGCGCCGCCCGCAGGGCACGGGGACCCGAGTTCGATTCCAACCTTCGGCAATTATTATAATTTAGTTGCAGCTTCAGTCTTAATCAAGCCACTGCTGGATGAAGTCCTCAAGCCACTCCCTGTGTGTCTCTCCCCGTGGTCGCGGGGGGTTTTCTCCGGGTCCTCCGTTTCCCTCCACATTTAAAATTTAGTATTCGACTGCTGCTATAAATTGCCACTTAATAAGCCAGCTTCTTTGGGCTATTATTTGTGGCCAAGTCGCTTCTGGAAAATAACTTTGTAGATCAGCGGGTCATGCCTGGTACAATAAAATAATAGTTTAGTTTTCGAGCCAACGCCACCCCTCACTATTTTTCACAAATATGTATCAATGTACCAAATGTGTTGTCAAAACTTTAGGCTGAGCCGACCTACAGGAGAGGCAATATCCTCTAACATTGATATTTACAAGTTACTGCTGATGTTCGATTGAGTGAGGAATTGAACTTGAGTTGTTTGGGTTGTAGTGCATTGCGTGTCAGATTGCCCGAGAGGCACTGACCGCCACTCACAAAGCGGCACACACACCAATTCACCGTCACATCAACTCATTACAGAAACAACACTCACACCATCACTCTTACCACCTCATCAGCACACTCGCCAACACTCACCAGCACTCTGAAACACTCACCAGCACTATCACCAGCACACACACCCAAGACAGTAATAACACCATTGGAACCTCCTTTGCCAGTAGCAAAATATGATATTTGGTTTATAGTGTAAATGCTTACCCCGAGCATTCATGGTGTAAATGGTTAACCCGAGCTCTCATACTCTGATGGTGCATTGTCTTTGAGTTGTGCGCCTTTTGACGTCATCTGGTCCAACACCATGTGAGACTAGGCTCTAAGAAAATCTGTCTCGGGTGTGGACCAATCAACTTCAAGGACAGTGAATATATTATCAGTCGTGTTTTTTTGTTTGCATTCCGACCGCAGGTATTGTGGCCAATGCAAACATAACTCCTTGTAAAAAAGGTGTCAGTTTTGTTGCCAGATAAAATGGTAAAAAACTAATTATCACAGTCATACCACTCTCTAAAACTCACCATCACACATACCACAACACTCACCAACGCCATAACACTCACCATCACACTCTCATCATACCAGGCACTCACCATCACTCTGCACGAGGACAGGCACAGAGCAGGTAAAACTCTCAACATCTTTACTCCTCCACACGCACTCCCCGCCCAGAGACATGACCCCCTTGCCCAGAGCCCCCTACTGTGACCGGCCCCCCCCCCCCATGCATGCAGTTCCAGTCAAGACGCTACGCGGGGTCACGCACCCTGGGAGGCAGGAGCAGGGGCACGGCAGATATGGGGAGACACGGGGAGAGACTGGGAGACACACAGAGGCAAGGAGACAGACAGAGAGAGGAGGGGGTAATGGAGACATGAACACACCGGGAAGACATGGACAGGAGACACCGTCCCGCCAAGGCGTCCGAGAATCAAATAACAGCCCCAATATTTCCCCTGCCACCACCACCGAAGCGAGGGGAGCAAGGAGAGGTGGGGGGGAGGGAAGCAGAGGCAGGGCGAGACGAACAGAGTAGAGGGAGCAGGCAGGGAGAGAGGTGGGCAAGGGAGGTGAGAACCAGCAGAGATTGATAGAGGTGAGGCTGGGAAAGCGACAGAATGAGAGGCAAAGAGACAAGAGGGGGCAGGGAGAGCGGACCAGGGAGGAGACTGGAGAGGCAGGGAGGTGGAAGAAAGCAGGGAGAAGCAGGGAGATGGGGGGACGGGGAGATCAGAGCTGGCAGGGAGAGTGAGAGACAGGAGAGGCGCGGAGGGAGTCAGGATGAGAGGGAGAGAAGGGAGAGCCGGCAGGGGGCGCCGGGACACCAATTTGCGACGAATTTCCACGCGACTCCTCGGTGTTAAGGCATCGGCACCGAGGAGCTTCGGCAACTCAGATGCAGGTGCGGGGGCCCAGTGTCGTGTCCAGGTGTTCCAGGTGTTGTCAGGTGAAGTCCAGCACGCACACCTGCGTGGCGACGGCCACGTACAGGCAGCGCGTGCTGAAGCGGAGGCTGTACACGGGGCTGCTCACAGGAGACGCCAGGTTGAAGGTCTACGAATGGGGACACGCAGAGACACGCGGAGACACACGGGAACATGGAGACACAGAGACATGGGGCACTGTCTATTGCTTCTACAGGGCATTCATTCACAAGATGGTGACATCACCCAAACACTAAAGACAAGCGAGCAGGCTTGGGCAGGATGAGTCACAGCTCGAGGGACGATGCCCATTCGTCAGGAACAACAACGCACTGGCAGCCTGTGACGAGAACACGTCCAGAGAGGACGTCGACCGAGGAGATGGAGCGATGATGGAATCAGCTCGTGTGTCAAGGAGCAGGTGCCGGGTGGGTCGCTGCATCGGAAGGATCGTGAGCATTGGCGCGGTGCGGTTTATTTTGGCGCACGTAAACGCCGCCGGGGCAATGACGGCCCACGTTCGATGGGGACCTCATCACGACCGTCGCTGCCGCCGCCGATGACGACGCCGACTAACGAGCGAGGAGACGCCGTCGTCTCGCGGGCACCTGCAGGCAGCGGTGGTGGCGCTTGTCCCAGAGGCGCACGACTCCGTAGTGTGCCGAGCCGCTCGCCACCATGTGGTTGCCGTCGGCCTGCAGGCAGTAGAGGGCGCTGTCGTGCGGCTCTTCCCACTCGCGCACACACTGCCTGCAGGGGGGGGCAGTGGGGGGGCACGGGGGGGAGTGGGGGGGCACGGGGGGTGGGGGGGGGCACGGGGGAGGGGGCACAGATCACAGGGGGATAAGGGATCAGAAAAAGGTGGAATATGGACGTTGGGTCAGACACGCCGGGTCGTACGCGCTGGGCCAGTGACAAGGGGTCAGATACAGGTCACGGGGTCAAAGACAAAGATCCCCCGTATAGTTTAACACGTAGGCTTTCGCGACCAATATCATCCATAATAGAGGTTTTTTGGTTTAGATCGCGTATAGCTTTTAACAGACTGTTGGAGCAAGTGCTGTTAGCGAGTAGCACCTATGGAGGCCGGCACGGCACACGAGGGGGTGGGTGGCCAGCACCACTCCTGGCGGCCTTTGTCTCCTCAGTGCTGATGTTGACACACCGCACCAGGTACTCATTTAAGGTTGAATCTATCTTGGTTCGAATATTCGCCACTGGTATTGGTCGTGAGCAGGGATCGAACTCGCCGGGTCCTTAGCACAGTGCGCTCACCGCGACCATTCCGGGGTCAGACACGCGGGGTCACACACGCAGAGGTCAGACACGCGGGGTCACACAGGCAAAGGTCAGACACGCGGGGTCACACACGGGGGGTCACACACGCGGGGTCACACACGCAGAGGTCAGACACGCAAGGTCACACACGCGGGGTCACACATGCAGCGGTCAGACACGCGGGGTCACACACGCAGAGGTGAGACACGCGGGGTCACACATGCAGAGATCAGACACGCAAGGTCACATACGCGGGGTCACACACGCAGAGGTCAAACACGCGGGGTCACACAGGCAGAGGTCAGACACGCGGGGTCACACATGCAGAGGTCAAACACGCGGAGTCACAAACGCAGGGGTCAGACACGCGGGGTCGGGCACGCACGACGGGACCCTCGGCCACTCTCGCGTGCCCCTCCCCCCCCTCCCCGGGGGCCGCGTCTGCCCCATCACCGCTGCTGCCCGGCACTCGACGCCGCGTATCTCGCAAATTCCAAAAATTCCGCGGCATGTTTCCCCGTAACATCACCTCGCTCCCCGAGCTCGCTCCGAGGAGGAGGCGGCGGCGCCATCGCACGCCGCCTCAAGGCGCTCCGGTTCAATACCCGGCCAGGATCAACTCTGTAAATCGTCCATACCTCGTCGCCACCTCTTTCCACGTCCTCCGGAGGTGTGGAGGACCAACGAGCTCTCCCCAGCACCCAGTGTACTCATCATCATCATTAGCAACAGAAACACAGCGGTGGTCTTTGTATGGAGGTGTGTGTGTGTACTTGGTACGATGTAGTAATATCAGCACTGGGGAGACAAAGGGGGGTGGATGTAGTGCTGATCATCCATCCCCTCGTGTGCCGGTGCTACTCGCTAACAGCACTTGCTCCAACAGCCTGTTTCGAGCTGCACGGGGGATCTTTGTCTTTATATGTTTGGCTGTATTCGTGCTTCTGTGTGTCTGGCTGTATGTGTGTGTGAGCCCGAGTTCGATTCCTGTTCACGATTATCTGAACCGGTCCTGGGCCTCCCCGATGTCGACTCAGCCTCAAATGAGTACCTGGTGCGATGTGTAAACATTTCCACGAGGGATACAAAGGCGACCGGGCGTGGTGCCGGCCACCCACCCCCTTGTGTCGGCCTTCACAGGTGCTCACCGACACTACTTGCACCAACAGTACGCTAAGGCTATACGGGGATCTTCGTCTTCGTACGACAGGCGGCAAGGCGGCGGTGGCGAGAGCATTGCGCTACAAACCCGGGGACCTAAATCGGGGCATGCGGCCACCATCATGAGCAGCACGCGGGATCCGAACCGGTCCCGGGCCTCCCTCCTCCCCACTTCAACGAGCGCGGGTCCCGTCGCGCACCACCCCGCCCTTCACTCGCTCTCACAACCCCTGCCCTAACAGCCTGCGTGCGTGCGTGTACGTGCGTGCGTGTGTGTGCGTGTGTGCATGTGCGTGTGTGCATGTGCGTGCACGTTAATGAGCATGGCTGCGGTGGGGGCTGGATGGGAGTGCACGCCGACTTGGGGGAGCGCGGGGCGGGGGCAGGCTGGGGCGGGGGAAGGGGGCTGGGTGGGCGGGGGGAGGGGGCAGGCTGGGGCGGGGGGAGGGGCTGGGTGGGGCGGGGGAGGGGGCAGGCTGGGCGGGGGCAGGCTGGGCGGGGGGAGGGGCAGGCTGGGGCGGGGGGAGGGGGCTGGGTGGGGCGGGGGGAGGGGGCAGGCTGGGCGGGGGGGAGGGGGGCTGGGTGGGGCGGGGGGAGGGGGCAGGCTGGGGCGGGGGCAGGCTGGGGCGGGGGAGGGGCAGGCTGGGCGGGGGGAGGGGGATGGGTGGGGCGGGGGGAGGGGCAGGCTGGGGCGGGGGGAGGGGGCAGGCTGGGGCGGGGGGAGGGGGCTGGGTGGGGCGGGGGGAGGTAAAGCACGGAACGTCAGGCGCTCGCTGCGTGTTTCCAGCTGAACCCCCCCCCCAGCGCTGCTCCCACGGGGAGGAGCGCAGGTGGGGGGGGGGTCGTGCGCAGGCAGCACGTGCTCACACCGCCTTTGTCTCCCCGGCGCTGATGTTCACACACGCCGCACCGGGTGCTCATTTTAGGCCGAGTCGACGTAGGGGGAGGCCCGGGATCGGTTCGGATATTCGCCGCTGTTTATTGGCCGCGAGCGGGAATCGAACTCGGGTCGACGGATTCGTAGCACGGCGCGCTCACCGCTGCGCTCGCAGACACGTGTAGCTCATATAGGCAAAGGAGTCCACACACGCACGTGTATGTCCCCTTGTAGTACACGCGGGCACGTGCGTGTGTGTGCACACACACGTGCGTGTATGTCCCCTTGTAGTACACGCGGGCACGTGTGTGCACACGCACGTGTGTGTCCCCTTGTAGTGCACACGGGAGCGAGCGCGCGTGCATGTGAACTACAAGGGCAAGTCCCACTCTCACTGAGCGAGCAGAGAGAGAGCAGCTCCAAGGAAGGGAGTGGGGGCGAGGGGGGTGGAAGGGGGGGGCAAGAATGGGGGGGGGTGGAGGGGGAGGTGGAGGGGGGGCGAGGATGGGGGGGTGGAGGGGGGGTGGAGGGGGGGGGCTGTTTCCCACGGCCGAGCAGGGCGAGGTGTGGCGGGAAGGAGAGGAATGCGAGGGGCGTCCAGGAGCAACAGAGAGAGGCTCCTGCCCTGACGCGCGCCGATCCGGCCGCACCACCGTGACACACAAAGACAAAGATCCCTCGTGTAGCCTTGACAGACTGTTGGGGCAAGTGCTGTCAGCGAGCACCTATGAAGGGCGGCACGGCACACGAGGGGGTGGGTGGCCAGCACCACGCACCACCGCCTTTGTCTCCCCGGTGGCGATGTTCACACACCCCCACTGAGTACTCATTTGAAGCCGAGTCGACCTAGGGGAGGCCTAGGACCGGTTCAGATACTCGTCACAGGTGTTGGCCGTGAACTCGGATCGACAGGTTCGTAGCGCAGTGCGCTAACCGCTGCACTTCCGCTCCCCACACCCCCCTCGAAGCCTGGACTCGCCCTCCACCCGTTCCACGCGACTCCGAGTTCCACTCAACATCTGGGGCAGGCGACCACCGCGCTGCGGGGCCACTCCACACAGATCGGTTGAGAAAACCTGAAGTTGCGTTTCATTATTAAGTTAAACGCGGGCCCCCATAATTATTTATTTATGACTCCTACTCCTGCTGCTGCTGCCGAACATCTCACAATGAGGCCTGGAACACGGACACCGCACTCGGGCGCTTCCTGTCATTGTGCAGCGTGACCCCGGCTCGCCGCCACGGGGACCAGGCTCGAGATGGGGCTGGGGTGTGAGTTGGGGGTGGGGGGCTGAGGGTGTGATTCCGGCTGAGAGTTGTGGGAGCGAGGGGTGTGAGTAGGGGGGCTGGGATGTCAGAGTTGGGAGAGTCTCGGGGAGAGTTGGGAAGAGTGGGGGGAGTCGGGGGAGAATTGGGAGAGTGGGGGGCGAGGGAGCCGCAGACGTGATGTGTACATCGCATTATCTGTGTGGATACATGCGAGCGCATTTGCAGGGAGCGGTTGTAGGGGAGCTCGTTTGAAGGGGGTGCGCGGTTACAGGGAGCTCGGTTAGTGAGCGTGCTTGTAGTGAATGTGGTTGTAGTGAATGTGGTTGTAGCGAGCGTGGTTGTAGTGAATGTGATTGTAGTGAATCTGGTTGTAGTGAGTGTGGTTGTAGTGAATGTGGTTGTAGTGAATGTGGCTGTAGCGAATGTGGTTGTAGTGAATGTGGTTGTAGCGAGCGTGGTTGTAGTGAATGTGGTTGTAGTGAATGTGGTTGTAGTGTCTGCTAAAGGGGCTGGAGGGTGCGGGAGGAGGCGAGGGGGGGCGGAAAGGTAAATCGGGGGCCGAGGGAGGGGGTACGTGGGGGTACGTGGGGGTGTGGGGGCGGGGGCTCTGGAACTTCATCCAAACGCGACGGGAACCCCTTGGCTGCCTGACCTCCCCCGTGCAATTCACACGGCGCTGGCCAGACCCCCCCCCCTCCTCCAGGCCCCCCTCTCCCCGTCCCTCATCCCTCCCTCCCCCCCAACACTGCACCACCCCCTCTCCCTCCACGTAAACTCCCAGCGCAGATGTCTTTCCAACTCACTTTTACAATAGGCGTGAACGCGTACCAACACACACACACGCACATATTCACTTACATGTACTCGCACGCATACCAACACACACACACTCACCAAGGCGTGCACACCAACAGACTGAGATGTGCGCGCACACGCAACAACCAGCACCACAGACTCCAAGCATAATCCTAAAGACACCCAGCCTGCAATTAACACCCTCCCATCTCCCAGGCAAATCTGGCCAGCACCCAGCATTAACAACCCGGCACCCTACACCACCACCCTGCACCACCACCCAGCACCACCACCCACCACCACCCAGCACCCACCACCCCCACCACCACCACCCTGCACCCACCACCACCCTGCACCACCACCCAGCACC